TGACGACCAAATGTCACCAGGTATCCTGGATGGGATTCTGGGACAGAAAAAGGACATTAGGTAAAAGTTAAGGAAATCTGAATGAGGTATATGTCATGATTGATTGATTGATTGATTGATTGTGACAATATGCCGTGTTCATGTAAGATATTACTAAGAGTGGAAACTGGGTATCTGGAAACTCCCTTTAATAACCTCGTTACTTTTCTGAAATCTAAACCTATTCTAAAATTTTTAAAAATGTAGACAGACTATTTGTACAAAACCTGTTTGTAAATAGTCGATAACTAACAACAAAAAAAGGAAGTATTGTATAAGAATGTAGTTTGGTTGGGCATAAAGAATACTGATCGCAGCCCTGGCCAGTTTGGCTCAATGGTTGGAGCATCGGCCTGCCTACCTAAGGGTCACAGGTTCGATTCCCGGTCAAAGGCCCATACCTCGGTTACAGGTTCCCCAGCCCTGGTCTGCGCATGCAGGAGGCAACCGGTGTTTCCCTCTCTCTATCTCTCCCCTCCTCTCCCTCTCTCCCACTCCCTCTAGAAATCAATGAAAAAAAAAATCCTTGGGTGAAGATTAAAAACAAAACAATAAAAGAACCTGATTGCAGCCGTGTAAGTGCCTCGTTAGCGAAGGCCCGCTTGCTGCGCTGCACACAGACTACAGGGGTATCCCTGCGGGTGTGGGATTCAGCCGCCGGCTTCCCAGCTGCTTGGAACCTCGCTCTCCTTCCGCGTGATCAGTCTTCAGAGCATCCTGTTCGGGAGGGATTGCTTCACCTCCCTAAATGAACGGACACTCCCCTCTGCTCGGGACCCCATCTGTCCCTGAACCTCCCTGCCCTGGTCCTGCCCTACACCTGGGCCCTGGGAGCCCCAGGGAGGAGGGTGGCCACAGGAGACAGGAGGTGGGGAGCTGGAGTTTCTGAGGCCAATGACCAGAAGGTCTGGAGCCCAAGCTGTCACTAGGCACCAGGACGCTGCTGGGTTAGAGCGGGAATGGGGAGGGTCTGCAGCTGCTGCCTGTCAGTGACCCTGTGTCCTGGCCATGGAGCTCAGGCGAGTGCTCCGCTACCCTGACCTACCCGGACGTCTTGGCTCCGTCAGAGGCCCCGGCCTGAGTCCAGACCCCTCCATCTGTACCCACCCAATGAGTCCCCACATGGCTCCACCCCTGACTGCCATTGGGGTTCTGCCTCAGACTGTGCTGGAGCGTGTCCCTTCCCCAGCCCCTGAAATGCATCCAGGGTCCGCTCCCCAGTGAGTCCCACGGTGTGGAGCCACAAGGGGGCTCCTCTAGAAGCTGGTGCAGAGGACTGGCGCCTGCAGCCACCCCCCACTCCACCTTCCCCGGCACAACCCCCACCACCACCCCGTCATGGGTGCGCAGCGCCTGGCTGCACTCTAAGGCCCTGATCTGGCGCTGTTTTGTCACTGCCCTATTGTGGACCCTCTGTTGCTCTCCAGATAGACTGTGAGAGCCGG